GTCGTACCGCCCGTGCTGGCGCTGATGGCCGCGCTATCATTCTCCTCACCGAGGGCGAGTCGTTCTTCATGAAGAACAACCGCCACTTGCCCATTAAGCCCCACCCCGATACCGAAGCCATCAATGCCGGCGCTCCTTCATGCTCCAAAGCTGTCTTGCAGGCCATGTACACTATTGAGGAGGAGTCAAAGCAACGTGCCTACTCGTCTTTCATTGGTTTCTTCGCTGGATCGGGTCTTCTGAGACAACTTCGTCTCGACAAGGCTGGCCTTGTTCAACTCGCCAACGAGATGGCTGTCAAGGGCATGGGTTGTCCCGAGCCTCCCCCAATGGACAGAAAGGTCATCGGCAAGATGGGTTTGAAGGGTGTTCCGGGTTTCAACTACGCAGACCCAAATGAGATGGCCCGAAGCGGATCCTCCAGACCTCGCAATTCTTCCCGAGGTGGCAAGAGTCGCGATGCACTTAGCCCCGGAGCTGGGCAAGGAGACCGAGGCGGTATTGAGAAGAAGCGTGGAGGAGGCCGTGGAGGCCGTGGAGCACGTCGTGGTGGCGGTGGTGGACGTGGAAGGCCGAGATCATGATTCTTTCGCATATTAATGTCAAGCACAGCGTGCTAAATGTTATTATTCATAGACACTAGAGACTTACGACCTGCTACACAAAATTCCTTAATCGAAACCAAAATTACTTGCGAAGTTGCCCACATGGAAATCTGTGAAATCGTAAAGCCAACCTCGAAGCTAGCCACGGTGTCATAACTGCTTTGAGTCATCAATAGAAGTAGACACCTAGGTATTACTACACAAGATTTCGATGTAATTGACACAGTGTCATTATTGATCTTGACAGTTGTTCTTGGGGTTGAAGATCGTAACTTGGTCAGGTGATCGCGGGTAAACAACATTTAGAGCTCCAACTCTCCACCATTCATTCCACCACGTCATTCTTTAAATTTGAACATTTGAGGGCAATCAGCTATCTATATTGATAACTGCCCAATATGGATCCGAGCTACAAGGCCCGCAAGGAGGCGTTTGTGTCTAACCTTGCGGGGAGCACAATCCTCGAGATCAATGCAGTCACACTCGTTGCTTCAGTGAGAAACCTCAAGACTTTACTTAGCAATTGATAGACTCTGACCTGTGGCTACTCTAGACATCTGTCCTTCTTTGGTCCGCGCTCCAGTCCCGCTTATCCTTCTTCACACCCTACAGTCCTGCGGCACTCGCGACGGACTTCATCCTCAATGTACTAGCCATCTTATTCGCGACGACTGCATACTCCTCTGCACCGCTTCTCCTCAATATATTCCTCGTTTCCCCCGCGATCCTCCTATTCCTCACCCGAAACGGTTTGCGCACCCCCCAAAAAGCCAAACCGCCCCGCAAATCCAAGGCCAAAAATGAGAGCTCCCAAGAGGGACAGCAGGCCTTGCCTATCCACCCATTCTTGACCACGTACCGTGCAGCTATGATGATTATTACCTGCATAGCTATTCTCGCAGTCGACTTCCGCGCGTTTCCACGTCGTTTTGCCAAGGTGGAGAACTGGGGAACATCTTTGATGGACTTGGGCGTGGGCTCTTTTGTGTTCTCCGCCGGAGTAGTCTCTGCGCGCGCGGTTCTGAAAGGCCGCAACTCGAAATCTCCGAGATTAGCTTTGCATAAGAGATTGATTGGGTCGGCTCGCCACTCCATTCCTCTGCTTGTGCTAGGCCTCATCCGACTGTGGAGTGTCAAGGGATTGGATTATGCGGAACATGTGACGGAATATGGTGTACACTGGAACTTTTTCTTCACCCTTGGCTTTTTGCCTCCCTTCGTGGAGCTCTTTGACTCCTTGACTACACTGATCCCATCGTATGAGGTGCTTGCACTTGGAATTGCAGTACTCTACCAAGTTGCTCTGGAGTCGACTGATCTGAAGGGTTATATTCTCGTGTCTCCTCGGGGGCCAGACCTACTGTCCAAAAACCGCGAGGGAGTCTTTTCCTTCATTGGATATTTTGCGATCTTCCTCGCTGGACGGGGTGTTGGAGTCCGCATCATTCCTCGTGGCACCTCGGCCACAAATTCGCCACAGAAAGCACGGAAATCTGTTCTGATACAATTGGTTCTTCAGGGAATGTTCTGGTCGACCATGTTCTTCTTTAATTCCACCTACGCATTCGGCTATGGTGCCAACATCCCAGTTTCACGCCGGCTGGCTAACATGCCATACGTGCTTTGGGTGTCAGCATTCAACAGCGCCCAGCTTTTCCTGTTCTGCCTGACCGAGACTGTGTTTTTCCCTGCGGTTCACCGAGCGACCAGCAAGGAAGGCGAGGCAGAGCAGACGACGTTTGCAACCAGTCGTATTCTCCATGCATTCAACCGCGGTGGCCTTGCACTGTTCCTGATTGCGAACCTGCTCACTGGGGCAGTGAATCTTAGCATTCCAACATTGGATCTCAACACGCCGCAGGCCATGGGCATTTTGGTTGTCTATGCGGCGGTGCTAACTGGTGCTGCTCTGGGGATGGACAAGTACAATATTAAGTTGAGCCTGTAGATATATAACCCTTATAGATGTAGTATTACCCAACTTATAAATCAAAAGTTATATATAGGAAAGTCCTTTGCGCAAAGTATGTTTTATTTTTATTTTTTTACAATGTACTCTCAATGTACCCCGTGCACATATAGAAAGGCACCTAGAAAGACATCTCAAATAGAAATATGCAAAAACACCCAACGGACATGATAGGGCAGTATAGCCGACTGTTTTTGTTTCATATAAATGTGTTGATAGCCCCGCATCTACCGTAACTTTGCATGTGATATCATCGGTGGAGTAACTTATCCACTCGGAGAATTACGCAAAGCATTTTGCAACAAACACTATGCCTACCAACGGACAGTCTTTTCTCAATTATCCCCCAGCACATGAGGGTCCCAATGTGCCGTACAAGTATGAAGACCAGGTCTTACCGGTCTTCCGTGGCGTTCCCCTAGCCATCGGTGCTACATTGTAAGCTACCCGAGGGCGCCATTGAGAGATCGATGCTAATTTCCGCTGTTTTAGAATCCATAATATCGGGTTTGTACAAAGTCATTTCTGGCGTAATGCCGGTTTCCATGTCATTCGTGAAATCCCCCATCTGGGCCAGTATGCCGGCCGCTATGATCCAACGGTGATTCCAGTCGACAATACCAGCCAGGCCGAGTCAGCAGCGAAAACGGCCTCTGCCACTGTGGAACGTAGGAAGGGAGATCATGGCTACTATACTTCCGCCGATTATCATGCGCTCTACTTGTCGGGGGAGCTGACCCCAACAGCTGTCGTCGAAACACTATTGCCTCTGGTCCGCCGTGATACCCAGCCCCCCGGGAAACACTCAACTGCTTTCCTCGAGTCTCAGGCCGAGTTGATTCGTGCAGCAGCGGAAGAATCTACGGAGCGATACAAGAACGGCCAACCGTTGGGTCCACTCGACGGTGTGCCGGTCGCAGTCAAGGATGAGGTGCACCTGACAGGGTATAAGCGCACGCTAGGCTCGAAGATGGATTTCAAGCAAGGCACGGATGGAACTTCGTGGTGTGTGAAGCAATGGCTGGACGCCGGAGCTATAGTCATCGGAAAAACGTCCATGCATGAGATTGGTCTAGGTGAGTTCCCATTGGTCGTGGCATATCACCTGCAGGCAGTGACTAATACTTTATAGACACGAACAACAATAATCCCAACTATGGAACACCTAGAAATCCTCACAATAAAGAGTACTATTGTGGTGGTTCTTCTGGTGGCTCTGTATATGCTGTCGCAGCGGGCCTTGTGCCCATTGCGCTTGGCGCAGACGGCGGAGGCTCCATTCGTATCCCGTCATCATTTTGTGGTATCTGGGGCCTGAAGCCTTCGCATGGCCGTGTTTCCGGTGCGCCATCCCAAAGTCTCGCACCCACCGTTGGTGTCATCGGGCCTATGGCTGCTAGCATCGATGATCTTGCCCTCGCCTATCGCATCATGGCCACTCCTGCACCAGCTTCAGAAGACCCGATCTCCTCGCAGTTCCCTTATCCTGTTCCTCAGCACTCTGACGCCAAGAGGACGAAGACAATTGGTCTCTTCCGCGACTGGAATGACCGCGCCGAGGGACCTGTGCGCGCTGCGCTTGATCGGGCAATCGACTACTACCGCGAACAAGGCTATAACGTTGTTGATATTACAATTCCTTATTTGCCCGAGGGTCAGCGCGCCCACGCTCTTACCATCATGGCGGAAATTGCATCTGGGGTTGATGCAAACAAGATTCGGCAGCTGTCAGCCCCGAACAAGGTGCTTGTCTCCATGGGCATGTACCAAATTACGGCACAAGACTTGCTCGCCTCCCAGCGGCTGCGCAATCTCCTCATGACGCATCTGGCGCATCTCTTCAAGCTCCACCCCGGGCTGCTCATTGTCTCACCCACAACGCCCATTCCTGGATGGCATATTGACGGTGGCGAGGCGGACTTGTCTTACGGTTTGTCGGATGCCAAATCCTCTGTACGCAATATGGAATATGTTTGGCTTGCCAACTTTACTGGCTGTCCTTCTATCAGTTGCCCTGTTGGTTATACCCCCGATGGCGGTGTGCCTATCGGTTTGATGGCTATGAGCGAATGGGGTACCGAGGAAGAGCTAATCACCTTTGCTCGAGATGGAGAGCCTATCTTAGGCCTGGCTAGCGGTGGTTCCTCGCTCGAGGAAAATGAAATTGACTCTGCAAGTAAGGGTCTACGAACTCCTTCTGATGACCTCTCTGTGTGGGAAGATATCATCGCACAGGCCAAGGAGAAGATATCCAAGTAAGGAGAAGGGAGATTCTAATCAACCGTGGAAGGATTTTTGTCACTTAGTATATCCACATGTATTTATTTGCAAATTACGAGAAAAGATACGTCTCAGCCAACCTCTGTGTATATTTTCTTACTCTCTCTCCAGATTTTCAAATCTCCTCAGCCAGGTCAGCCTTTGCATTATTCCGTGGCCGAGGTCCGCATCCGTACGTGCATCGGTGCACCATCCTTGGGATGCGACGTCGCTTTTCCAGTGGTATACATTCGTTCACCCTCAACAATCCGGCGATCCAATTTCAAGCCCTGAAATTCCCGCACCTTATCCCACTTATCCCAAGCCATCTCAATGTCAAAACTACGGACAGTAAATACCAACACCAACTTTAGCACAACGACCGCCAGTTCCTGCCCGATACATTTCCTAGGCCCAAGCTGGAACCCACGCCATATATTCTTCGCCGGATGCAACCTGTCACCTTCCAGTGCGGAAAATCGCTCGGGCATGAATTTGAGCGGGTCGACAAAGTTAGCTGGATCATGATGAATGGTGATAGAGCTGTCAAAGAGATCGAATCCGTCTGTCGGCCATGGCTCGTCCTCGCCGTTTATTTTCAAGTTGAATGAAGGCTGACCTTCCCGGATTGTGATTGTTGCTGGATTCATGCGCAGTGTCTCCTTGATCACTCCCAGCGTATACTGTAACGAGTCCAGGATATGGGGCGATTCCCGGATCTTCTCTGCAGCAAGGCTTGGATCAGAGCCAAGAATAGCGTCATCTTCGGCTTGTAACTTCGCGACACACTCGGGGTTTAACTGAAGTTGTCTGAATACACGGGGAATTGTGATGGACAATGCATCATCACCACCAAAGAAAAATATCATCAGTTGGTAGAAGACCTGTTCGATGAAGGCTTCATCTGGGTTATTAGTGGTTGTTTCTTCGACTCCACGCTCGCCAGCATACTCTTCAATGGCAGACCGAATTATAGTTCGTGGGCTATCGTTAGCAGCGTTTATCCCTTTTGTGATAATTTTCATTGGAACATGCCCGTGAAGTGTATCTCGCTACGGAAGCGGTGTGCTATCGTGTCGGGCATCACTTGCATAGTTGTGGGCCATCAAGGTAATCAAGGTAACACATGGTGGGCCGCCTACAATATGATTAGGATTGAGAGTTTGCAAATACGAACTTGGGTATATATGTTTATCTACTGTAGTACTCGACTTATTCTAGGTACACATGTAGGCTATAAACCCTGAATATTGCGTGGCTTATCGAGTGCCTGTTGACAATTGCAATTAATGCTCAGTCGATTCACATTGTACCCTGATACATCTCACCAAGGATCTTCAGGGCCGCACGGAAGTAAGATAAGCGCTGTCGTTACAAGTTAAGTTTTCTCGCGCAGTTTCCTGCATACATCCTGCATTATGTTGTATCACCGATAATGCCATGCCATGTGTCTCCATAGAAATGAGGTAATGTTGCATGGGGGAAGGAAAGGAAGGTTAATAAATACGAGAAAGAAAGTAAACTCTAACATCAGACCGATTCATATGGGAATGAAGAGTTTGGACACTTTACATTGTCAATTTTATGCAAATATAAAAATTTGAGAATGCCAAACCAATATTTGCAGTTTTGATCCTTCATCTGCACTGCCCACCACATGTTACTTGCATATACTACATTTGGATCTGTCATTTTAATTCACAGATGATCTGCATGTCCGGCCTTTTTTTCAGCTATCCTCTAAGTGTATAAAGATCTTGGTTCATTATATTCGGAGTGATATAATAAAGCAACAACTATAAAATCACCTAGCATGGCATTACATAGAGATATCCCCTCTTGGATGCATATCTAATTAATTTGTGTAAGGACTAACACTTGGTGGATCTTCAACTTCTCGAGATCTCTATCTCAAACGGTGTCACATCAATGCCACACTAGGCCCAGTATGCAACAGACTGTCTCCGCGGATGCTCGGATGCTTGAGATTGCGAATCCTTCCATGATCGAGTGCAGTGTTTCTGGTAGAGATGCCCTTGAGTTGTAGAGTACACAAATTTTACCCTCTGCTTTATTACACCTCCACCAGTGAGTCCAAACACTCCTAAAAAACCATGAAACAATGAAAAGATGATAGCAATACAACCATAGCCGCAGTGGAAGACATCCCGCCGTTCATTTATATTGGTGCTTTAACTCATGTTAAACGATGGCCCTGAAACAAATGACATTAATGAGCATGCTATTTGATACCCTCGTTTATGCAAGTCTGATCCATGTCAATTCGGCTCCTATTGGTCTTCTAATAGCAACGCCCTCAGACCCCATCGTTAGCTGAGTGAACAAGATCTACGGGAATTAGCGGTGTACGAGCTATTTGGAAGTGCAACTTGCGTGTCCCCACTTCGTATAGGAAGGTTCAGGTTTAGGTAGTTGCAATTTACAATGTATTTCCACCATGTAGACAGGGACTGGACAGGTACTGGATATCTACATGCTGTCTACATGGATCAAGTCTAGCAGAGTATCTATTTTTACCCCTCCATGTATGGTAGTGGGTGACTATGGAGGATAGTGGGGTGGTGATGCAGAGTAAAAAGACCAGTCCATTCCCATCCCCTCAGCTGGAATGTTCACATCTCTGACTCTAAAAGTCTCACTTGGCACAGTAATAGTAACAACAGTAACAACATCACTAAAAATGATCTACAAAGTGTGGCAGGGAAGTAAAGATGGTGAACACATAGTGAAGAAGGCCACCCCGCGATGAGCAATTCAGTACAGCGAGTGCTAGCCCTGAAATGTCCCTGCTGAACATAAAAGGCACCGTGTCACCTCCCGGTTTGGACATTCTCTCCAAAAATTTCACAAATCACTCTCAGAACAATCTAAACCCCCGCACACAAGATGCAGGCATCATCTACTTCTTCCGCTGCCGGCCCCGTCTCAGCCATCCCCTCTATATTCGAGACTGTCCAAGGCTACAAAGTCCCCGTCTTCTTTTCTCGTTACCCGGCCGGAATCAGCATTGCCGCTCGGGATGTCGAAGATGCCCTCAGAAAGATTGGCGAAGAAGCTTCTGAGGAAGGGACAAGGGAAAGGCGTCGGGCACTGATCCGACACACCAACCCCTACGGTGACCCCTTCACTATCTGCCATTGCTCGGCCTTCCCAGACAGACTAGTTCTGTTATCCTGCCTGGTCGAGGTAATGTGGATTCATGATGGTAAGACACCAATGTGCTCAACATGCATGTAGTATGCTCACGATGGAACTATCTACAGACGTGACAGAGGAGATGGATCATGCCTCGGTAAGAGTGCTAGAATTTTGTATACTGATTACCTTCTGACATTTTATAGGCATGCCAGGAGCATGATGAGCTGGCAAAGGTCCTTCAACTTGACATTGATCCCTCAATGTTCGAAACAGGAAATGTGCGGCAAAAGTCGCTAGCGGTTGTGCTTCGAAAGGCAATTGACATTGATCATGAGCAAGCTCCTGCTATGATCGAGATGCTGAGAAACTATCTGGCAACATTCGACAATATCGGTGGTGACTTCACACGAATGGAAGAGTATATGCCCTACCGAATCGCCAACTGTGGCTACTGGTAAGTTTCTTCCTAAAGAGCTCTCATAGTACAAGTCTGACTATCATCGTCAAGGATGTCCTCTTACTTTATCCGCTGGGGAATGGATATGACCCTCAGCGAGGAGGATTACGCCAGCATCGAGCAATTCGATATTGCAATGGGAAATGTCCTCGGTCTAACCAATGATTTCTTCAGTTGGAATATTGAGAAAGACCAGGAGACCGATCGAATGAGAAATGGAGTGGTAGTTCTGATGAAGGAGCATCATACCACAGCAGATGCGGCCAAAATGATGCTTCTTGGTATTATTGTCGAACAAGAGTCTCTGGCCGCAAATCTCAAGGAGGAAAGATTGAGGAAACCCGCTTCAACAGAGATCCTGCAATACTTCGAGGCTATTGAGCTTTATGTCGGTGGAAGCTGCTATTGGCACTCGACCGCACCTCGGTATCAGGTCTTTGAATGAATGCAAATAAATACAGTGAAACTGTGGATAGGTATATTTTATAGAATAGATTCGTCTAACATCTTTGAACCAGCCTTCTAAAGAAAACCAAAGCCCGGTAAACCGATTGGTACGTAGGGTGTGGACTAAGACTTGAAGTAGAAGAACTGGTTATGTCCGGAGTAATTTTCGACTATCTACGTCGAATGTAAAGCGCACCAAAAGTAGCCATCGGCTCAAAAATAAAATCCAGGTTAATATACATCAAATGACGAAGACGCTATATCAAAACAAACAAAACAAAAATCCTCCTCGTAGTAATCTCGTGAGTGTTAAATCCATATTCCCTCAAGAGGATTCGGGATAAAGAATTCACAACCTAGATGGGCTGCTTTACCATGATCCTGCAGTTCCCTCAGGATCTGATCGCTAGGACGAGGTCCATCAGTAAGATTCTCCTTGATGTGAATAATGTAAATCTTTAATCCTTCTAGAGGAAGAGCCGCAGTATCATCACAACTCTCAGGGTCCGGGTTTGTCAAAATATCTCCGATGTCCACTCGGGACACCTGAGGAATCTCAAATGACCCGCTCGGATGTGACCGAGACTCAACAAGCGGCTCGGACGTCCTGCCTTTATCGGCGGAGGATCTTGGAGTCCGTTTCGACCGAGGGCTCACTTGCTCGCTGCTTATCTCAACGGAGCCTACGGTTTCACGCTTGCGTTTCTTCTCCCCCGTGTTGTTTGGATCCCGCACTTCCATGACTTTGTTGGCTAGCACGCTGAGCTCGGACACTAGATGCCGTGGACACATGTGGCCGTACAAATATGAGTCGTCGGTGCTGTCATTGTAGGAACATTCGATGAAGATCGCTCGTAGTTTGCCAGTAGCAATTTTCGGTGCAGCGGCTTCCCATACTCGTTTGTTGTGAGTTCCCATAGAAACTGAATCCGGCTCAACATCACCGAACACGATGATCTCGTGGCCGGTGTGATGATCGCGTAGGAAGAAGGCAGAGCTCTCGACTGTTGACAGCATTGGCTCTTTGGGGTTGGATGGGAGTAGACGTGGGGAGCGTGCGGGAGAATAGAAACTGGCAATGGTTAAGAACATCCCGTGTAAATATTGCAAATTTTAGCTTACCTGCCATCAGTATTGTCGACTGAAATCGCCCTTGAAGGAAGCATCAATTGATGATCAGAAAATATGGTACTTCCGACTCGGTGATGAGTTCCACTTTCTGGATGGTATCGCTGTTTGCACCGGCCATGGCTAACGCTCAAGCATTTAGTCAATAGGCCATTGCAAGCCCTGACATAGCCTCTACTGTCTCCACGACCGAAACGAGGATTTCCACCTTCTACCAAGCGCTGGTATGTAAGCAGACCGGCCCCGCCATCCTCGTCCGACAGATTAGGCCAGATGACATCGTTGAACATGTGGTTTTTGAGAGCTGATAGCACGGATGGTAAAGCAGCCACAGGCTTTGGTCCATTACCGGCCTCCAAAATTGGGGTGTTAATAGCCAACCCTGAGATATGATCTAGATGGGGGTGTGTAATGAGAACAGCGCCGATAATTTCGCGAAATATGTGAGCTGCATTTGCCTGTGCCGTTTTGCAGGGCAGCTCAAGCCCCTGAAAGGGTCCACTTGTCATCATCCCCCGATCATCCTTGCATTCGGGGATGTATTGTTCCAGCAATCGGATGATGCCTGCAAGAAGGGTACCTGCATCAACGGCTACCACCGAGTCTGAAGACCACTTCGTTGACGTCGACCGGACAAGAATGCCCGTGACGCTATCTTCGCGAGGTCCACCAGTCGGGCCCTGGGGGAGTCAGCATCCAGCAAAATAGGAGTTGCAGGGTTCCATCTGCTAGAACCCGCCACCAGGAAAGTTAAGTAAACAACCTTTGATCGGCAAGATATCCATCAAAGCTCGACACATGGTCCTGCACGTGACGGGTCCCGCAACAGACAAG